GCTTGGACAAGCCGATATTTGTCAGGAACAGGTCTAGCGTCGATGGGTTGCCCGCCGGTGAGATGAATGTTGGTTCATCCGAAAACCAAACGGAATACAGCCCATGCTGTGAGTGGTCGAACAGGAGACGACCGTTCTGGTTCTGCTGGTAGTTCCGCCAGGCCTCATGGCGAGCATTCAGATCTCCTCCAACTACGAAGCGGGAACCGGTACGGGTGATGGTGGACAGGTCCTTCTTGAATTTAGCCGCTAGTCCACTGCTGGCGGCACACTGTCGAGGGCAGTAGACGGCGATGAACTGGACGTATCCAGTCGACGACTTCACCTCCACACCAAGGGCCTCGATGATAGTGGTGCGGATATGGGACAGAGTGTGGTATTTTATTCCTTTCTTGACGACGACCGCAACACCACCACCCCTGGAGCTGGTGCGATCAAGCCGGATAGTGTTATGGTCAGGCAACCAGAAGCTGTCGCCGGACTTTAGATGGGTCTCGGTTAGAAGGCCCACGTCGATGCTGTGCTTGCGGAGGAAGTCGGCAAGCTCAATCTTTTTTGCTCTTACAGAGCAAGCATTCCAGGTGACGATAGTTAGCGGTTTAGACGCCATACTGGATGATGAACTTACCGAGCACTTGGATCTGTTCGGGCTTATTGCGGCACTTACGAAGAGCACCGGACATGTTGACGAAAATTTCCATCAGTTCATCCGCTGTGAACAGATCGGGGTTGTTGTTTTGCGCTGTTGGTTGTCTCCAGAATCCAGGGGGGGATGGAGAGCTTTGACCAGCAGAATCACCGGAAGCTTCTTGAGGGGGGGCGGGTTGCACCCGCGAATTCGCTTGCCTTTGCTGGGGAGCACGAAGAGGCGGAAAATCCTCCGTCCTGAATGATGGGGTTTTGTCCTTCTTGCGTCCTGGTTGATTGTTGCTTGACGCCAGCTTTCGGATGCGTTTGAAGTCCTCGCGTTTGGAGCACTGTCTGTCAGAGCCTTGATGTGCACCACCACAGTTAGCGCATTTTTATCGCCACGGCTCCATCCGCAGGGCAGTTGGAAGTGGCGTGTTCTTGAGCGCAGTTGCTGCAGCGTGGCTTGATGTTGCAGTTGCGGGTACCGTGTCCAAAATTGAGGCACCTCTGACACTGCGTTACGTCACGATGACCACCACGGTATGGCTCCCACCGTACGATGATGGAGTAGATCGATCGGATGGCTTGTAGCGCATTGAGCGTCACCGTCCCTTTCTGGAAGTGCACCAGGAAAAGACAATCCGGGTACGTCTTCACGTTTTCATCTCTCCTTGTCATTCGGAAGACAGCGATTGGGGCTAGCTTGTACCGGTTGATTTCGGCTTCGACCATCTTGGGGTCGAAGTTTGGTAGGCCCCTGATGACTACCTTGAAGGGCTTCTCACCGGGGATGTCGTGCGTGAAGAATTCCGCCTTGGTATCCTTCAGATATTTCACGGCCACTTCGTACTCCGCTTTGGTTCGGAGCATCACCTTGGTGCCGATCCTGCCGAGCTTATACTCAGCTGCAACGCCCAGCGATGAAAGATCGCCAATCAGCGTGTTGAGTGGGACTTGCTTCACCACCAGTGGAGGAAGCTTCATTTTTGCTGCACTCGGGCTGGCAGCAGTTTCGTTGTCGACGGCATCACCGAAATCACCAATGACGCTGACGTTCGTCGCGGTGGCATCGTCCCGTCCACTCGCACCATCGGACTGGCCTTGATTTTTCTTCCTCTTCTTAGACCGCTTCACCGTGGCTGAGGTGGGATTCCCTACATCGGTGGGAAGAGTAGCGTACCTATTCGAAATAGGTACACTCAAGCTACCCTCACCGCTGTTCTTCTTCTCCGTTTTCTCTCGGAGCCTGCTCCGGGAGCGCTGTCTTCCCATCACACGAAGCGACCGACACTACTGACGACGCGATTAAACTGCGAATGTTTGGAACAAACTAGAAACTTTAGAACAACTCGACAGAGCGAGCAAAGACCGAACTGTACTGCTTGACGTTCAAGCAGAGAATGTTGTTGAGGAAAAGCATGACAGCAGCGCTGTTTTATATCTTTTCAGGTTCAGAACCTAGGGCGGAGCAAAATGTTTCTTTTGTGCAGAATATGTAAAAGAGGATGGACTTTGGATGTTAATATAATTGCATATATAGAGGTACCAGATATGTTTTACTGTCAGTTCTTGGTAATTCATCGAGTGTATGTCTCCTATTAAGCAATATTTTTTTTTGAAAATGTTAGCTATGCATGTAAAAAATTAATTGTTCATACAATGTCCATGTCTTTTTCGGGTTATTGTTAAGGGGGAGGGGGAGGGGGTTGTTAAGCGGGAGAGGGTTTTACATGCACGTTTTTTCAAGTCTCATTCCTCATTGTGGGGTGGATACGCCGTGATCCACCTTTAGCCGCTAACCTAGTCCTGCTTGATGCAGGACCTAGTGCCACGCCGTCCGAAGCGGTAATGAGCAATAGCATGAGAGCAGCGCTGATTCAGCGCTTTTCAGGTTCAAGCAGAATGATGTGCAACCAAGTGGTATTCGTTTATGATGACTGGGTTTGGGAAAAAGGCTTATTTCATGAAATCAGTGATATAATTATCATTTGTACATTTTCAAAAGTTTAATTGCAAAAAAAAAATTGTAAAAATATTTATTTCAACAGGTTCGTAATGTAATATCCTATCGATTGGCGTATTTGGTTTTTAATTTCATCTATAAATGACAAAGTTACAAGCGTTCAAAACCTAACACTCCTTCACCACACATATTTTTTGATTTGCACCCCAGTATAGTCGACAAAGACGTAGTTCTACGTCAAAAGAGTTAGGATTAATATAAATAATAAGAATTCTTTTGTATAGAACGCTAAGCGCGCTTCTTCGCTCCCACTATGGCAGCGGCCTTAGCGCCCTATGCTAAATCAATGGTAAAATTAACAAGTTGTTTAGGCTCTGAACCATTTGGCGAATTTTTTTTAACTTTTGGTTAAAATTTGACAGATGGAAAGTTATCAATGAACCCTGCTATCCGAGCATAATTACGAAAAATAGAATTTTAGCTGTAATGAGCAACTGCAAGCCGAGAAGTTCTCGGTGCGTTTGCTTTTGATTTTACGAGCCAATATAAAATCAATATAAGCCTCTTATAGCACATCATACGAAACATTTCGTAAAATTGGTTAACTGAACTGCAGTAATTCAAAGAGAAAATCGATTATCGCAGTTAGGCCCTTATGATTTTGAACGTTGGATTTGTTTTCTATTGAAGATTTGTAGGTTCATTGACTTTTAGATTTTTCTTCACAAACAGAATGTGTCGATTTAAACATTTCTGAGGGCTAGCTTCGTAGTTGAACACAGTTTCAGCACCTCTAAACGCAATAAAAACCTTGATAAAAGCATAGTTTTTTTTTCACAATCGGTTGCACGTAAATCGACAACACTGGATACGATGATTGATCATTCCTACACACACCTTCGTTATGCGGTGTGTAGGAAAATGGTAAACAAAACAGTTTTATCTTCGAAATTTATCCATGACTTGCGTTTTTAACGATAAAATTGAATATAAATATTAATTAACCGACAATTTGCTTTGAAAGAAGATTAGTTTGAAAGTGTATCTTTAGTAACACGTGCCGTGATTGTTTTTAGTGTGGTTCCGAATAATGAAAGCTAGTGAAAACAGGTACATATTGATAGTTCGTGCCTTGAGCAGAGCAAAAGCGACTGGTCGAATTTTTTTCATATATTTATTTCGATCGCGTGAATGAATTGAACATACCGTGCCGATTCAAATTTCGGACACTTAAACTCGAATTTCGGACACTTTTAAAAGTTGATTATCTCGGTCGAATATGATCCACATGTCTTGTAAATTTTAAATTTTTTTGACTAGTGCCCTCCACGATCATCTCACATTATTACTTTGTTTCTAACTGGATGTAATATTTAATTAAAAATGAAAGTGTCCGAAATTTGAATCGGAACGGTATTTTGGTGGAAAAGTATTATAATATGTATCCAGTTCTTATTTACACAATTCTGATCCATATGTTAAGGTATTTAATCAGTCATGTACTATTTTATAGATACCAGAACATGTTTAGTTACTGATTGTGAGGACAGTCATTGCTGCATGACGTACCGTTTCACCTTAAAGTGTCCGTTTCACCCCGAATCACCAACAAACTAGCTCATTAAATGGATTGATAATCTCATCGTAATTGCTATATAATCTCACCATCATGATGTCATGAAGTAGTATTTGCTGCACTATGTACATGTCATGTCAAAAGTGTTTATCTGACATTATCTTCAATAAATTTTATAACGATATTTTTTGCTGTAGTCCTAATTACAAGATAATAGAAGAAAATGATTGTAACACCAAAGTGCCCAATTATCCCACACAATGATTCCGCAAATACGCCACATTTCACTAAATTCACACATCCAAATAAGCCCAATCCAATCAAGCAGGATGGAAAAACATACAATAACACCACGCGAGACTGCGATACACCCATATAGTTAGTCGTGTCGTGGCGCACCATCACCACCGTCAATCGGTGCTTCATCTTACGCGCGCCAAGTTACGACAGAGAACACACCATCATATCTACAAGTTCGCATACGAGCTCCAAAACGCACGTGGAGTGCCCTGCTAGCCCATTCGCTACAGTCACCAACTACCTAACCGTCTAGTACGCAGTTCGATTACTAAGTTCCGTTTCACAGCTCCTTCACTTTCGGGTGCAAAAATAAAACAGTCCAACAAGAAGTTGTATAAGCCCTAATGCGGAAGGAAATGATGTCCACTTATCCGAACCCCGTGCGCACAGGTCCATCATCATCAACCACCACACGCTTGCCGCGCGCCGGTAGACCGTCAACTTCGCACTGTGCTATCAACTTTTGGCTTTCACATTGATACCTTTTTGCTTCCATACCAGGAAGACGTCGACGACGGTGACGACGATGTGGTGTTGTTTAATAAATAATGAAAGCCATACTACCCTACAGCTTCTGCTTACTTTCGGAATCTAATCTCCCGTGTCGTTCAGCAAGATACGCGATTGCTGCCGCTCGTTCTGCCTAAAAGCTGCTGCTCTACGACGGTGAACCTGGACGTGAAATCGCAATGTCCACAGCAACTGCCAGATATTGACCTTGGGCAGTCTCGCGGTTGGTCCATCGGATCTTCTTCGTCATCGTCGTCGCCGTCTTTTGGAGTGGAGTTGTGTTTTGATACCGAAAACGTGCATTCGAGCTAGAGCATTCCATCGTTGACTGTGTAGTGGCTCTTGATATTGTTTTGCTACGTTTATTTGGTCATCTCAAGGTCCATGGAAAAAAGTGCAATAGGCAGATACTTTCTCAACCGTGCGTGGATCGTCAGAGTGCCTTTCCAAATGATTTGGAATTTATTTTTGATGGAATAACAAATCCTTAACGGTGTGTGAATGAATGGAAACGATGAGATTGGAATCGGACAGTTGGAGTAGTGGTTGCTAGAGGTCTTTTTTTTTCGGTATTACATTGTTTTGTTTTCGTTGAATTGGATTGTTAGTAGTGCTTTTGCTATATCGAGTGAACGTTGTGGATCGACGAGCGACGACGTGCGGCGCAATCGGTGTAAGTTTACGGGATTGTGGGGTTCAGTGGGGGTGAATTGATCATCTTAGAAATCCGGATTAATTTAAAAAAATGCAAGTTATGAATTTAAAAAACGTTACTAATGAAAAAAAAATCATAGTAATACAATACAACTTATTGTCACAATGCAATAAAACCAATTGTTCACAGCATAAAAGCTATGGTTAATTAAAATTGAAATACAATCAAATATAATGTTATGTTCCATAGAACTTATAGTAGATGTACATTTAACAATAAATTCTATGTATCATTTTTTTTTTGCGAAAAATGCAATGGTTAAACCCCTTTTAATTTATTGTTTTTGTATGGTAAAATTTGCAATCTTTAGGTTAATATATGGTTGTTGTTGGCTCTTATAAGCAGGGAATCAACACAGAGAGAACAACCAACACAATAAAGACAAAACTCTTGCGATGACTACCACGCTAAAGTCTCTGATAAAGGTGAAAATAAAACGGTTAAATTGCTTGCAATCTTTGTTGCAACAATTGCGGTTTATGACATAACTTGGTACGGGTCAATGTTTGTCTGAGCCTTGCTGTACTCAGGTGGCGTTTAGAACAGGCCATGGCCTTCATGACGTGCCATATTGAGTATTCCAGCGGATTAAGATCGGGGCTGGATGGCGGCCACGTTTCCTTCGCCCAGAACGGAAGATGTTCCTGCAAAAACTACTGAGTGCGGTTCGAGGTGCGGCAAGAAAACCCATCTTGTTGAAATACAACATTTGTCTTCGGACCGTACTGTTCTTTGATCCACCGAAGAACATACTTACTTAAAATCCCGATGTAGACCTCCGTGTTGACCTTGTCGCCTTCTGGAATGAACACCGGGTCCATTTTTTGCCATCGGAAGCCACCAATCCAAACACCCTAACGCTTGCAGGATGCTTAGTCAGATACACGTTCTTGTGCTCGTCAGCCACGTCTTTTAACGGAAGAGAACTAATATACCGGTCGTTTCTGGAATTTGATACGGGATCGACGGTAAACATGTTCTCGTCGGTGAACAGGATTACCGGATTTTTTCGCTAAAGGAAGTTCAAGATTTTCTGGCATCGTTCGACTCGTAGCTCCCGGATGCGGTTGGTAATCATGTGAGTTTTTTTCCGTGCCCTAAACTTCGCCCCGCAATCTTCCTTTACGATCTTCCGTGCCGTAAAGTCACTGATCCCATGTTCCTTAGCCTTTTTCCTTATGCGTTCACTGGATTTACTCGAATCTTCCTTTTGATAGCTGCGATAACCCTCGGAACCCGAGCTGACCTCGGACGACCTGTGGCCACCTTCGCGGATAGTTGTCCTTTCTTTTCTCGGTCTAAAACCCTTTTGAAGGTCCACCGGGACACTCCCACGGCGATTGAAATGTAGTTTTGCGACATTTGCGCGTGGGACAAATCACGAATAGGCTGCCACTTCGTCATGGTGCAACTGTCAAACTAAGTATATCATTTTCTTTTGTACACAGTCTACTACGGTATGAGTTATAGGTTACGTGCATGCAAAGAAAACCAAGGCATTGAATGCACAGGTGAAACGGGAACCTTATTTGAAAGATGGTGCAAACATTATCACGCATACGGTATATCAAGAGCCACATGTGAAAAGGGCATACAAGCTTTTTGTAAACAAACCTTTGTAGGCCCTCTTCTCGCCATCCGAGGGTCGCCCACGCAAACTAACAACATCATCGGGAAGGGGAAACCTTCCCCTATCCGGCGATGTTGATGGTTTGCGTTGGTGTCATATGGGTGGCGAGAAAAGGGCATAAGAAGGTTTGTTTACAAAAAGCTTGTATGCCCTTTTCACATGTTGTTCTTCATATGAGTTTTTAGGTAGATGTGAAGCACTTGATCGAAGTAAAAAAAATTTTTGCACAGTAGTCAAATCAATTTGCAGTCTTCATCAAAGTTATTCCACATAGACCTTCATCGTTCACTCATTTAACAGGTTGGTTTCAATTATTGTTTGTTGGTAATGTGTGCGCACAGTCAACAGCCATGGAGTTTGATGTTTGAACACTACTGGTGAAATGGCATTCAACCAAATTTTCCATAGTAATTTTTTTTCGCCTCTCCTTAGCTCGAACCCTAGCTACGCCCTTGACTATTGCCATCTGTTGAGCGCATTGCCTTCCACAGTCTGTTCAACAGATGGCAATAATGTTTTATGAACGTTGTAAAGTCTGGAATGCGCAAAAATTGGTCAACTTCAAATTGGTGTATTTCTGTTAAAAATACATTAAAAAAACCTGAAATGCTGCATTTGGAAGTGTCAAAATTTTGCTCGCGCAGCAAGATAATCCAACGTTGGCAAAATTGCTAGATATGGCCAAATCAACCGTGACAAACGTTTTAAAAGTGTTCGGGGAACGTCTGTCGACCGCCAGGAAGCCTGGAAGGGGCGATAATCGTAATCCGGACGTGGCAGTGACGACGAAGATGGTGGCGGTGATATATAAGCTCTCCATCCGGGACGTCGCTGGCAAGCTCAATGGCTCCCATACTACTGTGCAGCCAAGAAACGAGCCGGGTTGTCGACGTTTAAGATGGTGAAGGTGGCGAACCGAGATTACAAACAAAACACGTCGGCAAAGCAGCGGTCCCGAAATCTGTATACGAATCTGCTCACAAAGTTCGACTGTGTCGTCATGGATGACGAAACTTGACGGATTTCAAGCAGCTTCCGGGACAGGAGTTTTATACCGCATCAGAAAAAGGGAAGGTGGCTGAAATTTTCAACACCATCAAACCAAGTTCCCGAAAAAATATCTCGTCTGGCAGGCCATATGCACGTGTGGTCTAAAAACCGGCATTTTCATTACTACGGGAACCATCAATCAAGAGATCTACGCCCAGGAGTGCCTGGAAAAGTGGCTGCTACCATTCCTAAAGCAACATAATAGACCTGTGCTGTTTTGGCCGGACTTGGTGAGCTACCACTATGGGAAAAAGGCAATCGAGTGGTACGATGCGAACAACATGGTTGTGGTACCCAAAGACCACAACCATTCCAACAGCCCAGATCTCCGCCCTATCGAAAGATATTGGGCCTTGGTCAAACGGAACCTCAAAAAAAAAAAAAAAAAAAACTAATAAATTCATGGAAAACGAGCACCAGTTTAAATCTAACTGGCGTTCGGCGGCGAATAAGGTCGATGAGACCACTGTGCAAAATTTAATGGAAGGGACTAAGCGGAAAGTACGGCAGTTCGGATTTGGTAAACCAAAAGAATAAACGAACATGTTTTCCTTTAAATATATGAATTGAACTACCAAAAGAAAAATAAGATGATTTTTGTGATATGAATTTTGACTGAAAGAAACGATTTTTTGTCGACCAATTTTTGCGCGTTCCAGTCTTTATTGAAATAAAAAATAATCACAGTGTTTGTCTACGCACATGTATTCCCAATCTAAATCTGTGGTTAGGTCAAAATTGAGCTATTTTTTTGATCAGTAAATGATTAGTTTCGTTTCATTTCCCATACATTTTTCCATACAAAATTAAACATCCTTCCGCAAATCATAATCATAAGCAAATTCACTCAAATTTTATACAGTTTTTGGGGACCTCACTACGCATGAAAAGAGCAATAGGGTGCATGGGGTTGTAATGTTGACCCTCCCTAATGATGTTTCAGAGGATCGATTTGCAAAATTTTAAGGTCCAAGGTCTTTATGTTTAACCCCCTGATGAAATTAAGGTATTGCCGAATTCGGCCAGACCAGTTTGTTATTCTGTTTTATGTGGTGTCCATCTGACCCTCACTTTTAGTATGAATTATTTGGTTAGCTGCCCTATATGTATGTATATCCAAGTAGGGGTATTATCACATCAATTTGACGATAACTCAATTTAAATACCATGCATATTAATTAAATATGAATGCCACCGAAAACCATGGAACCTGAACTTACAGCCAATGACCATCATCAAATTTCTCATGCTTCCTTTCTCACTTCTTCCTTCCAGTTACGATGTCAACGTTCTTCACCACCAACCGGCACGGTTACAGCGTCCGTTTCTCCCCCTTCAACCCGGACCAGTTCGTGGTGGCATCCAGTCAGTTCTATGGGCTGGCCGGTGGAGGAACCCTCTACTTCCTGGAACTGTCCCCGGACGATAATTCAATCGTTGAAAAGCGAACCCATCACTGGACTGACGGACTGTTTGATGTGGTAATTTTGCGTCATCCGTGGACATTTCAAGTCAAAGAAAATTAATCGAATTTTCAATTATTATTTTAGACATGGTCCGAATCGAACCAGGAGATTGTGGTGTCCGGTTCCGGGGATGGAAGTGTTCAACTGTGGAATACCAGTGTGAGTGCCAACAACGGAGCTCCGCACATGGTCTACCGGGAACACAAGAAGGAAATCTACAGCGTCGACTGGAGCAAGGTGCCCTACGAACAGCTGTTCATCAGTGCCAGCTGGGACAGCACCGTAAAGATCTGGGATCCAATACGGAATCATTCGCTCAGTACCTACATTGGGCATACGCAGCTAGTCTACAATGCCGTATTTGCGTCGCATATTCCCAACACATTTGCCAGTGTGAGCGGCGATGGTATGCTGAAGATTTGGGATATCTTATGCTATGATCTACCGATAGCAAGCATCAAGGCTCATGAGGGAGAGGTTTGTTAGCGGAAGGCCATTTTCTGTCCAAATATATAAATAAAATTTTCATTTCTAGGTCCTAACAGTGGACTGGTGCAAGCACGATTCCAACGTCTTGGCAACGGGTGCTTCGGATGGTCTCATCCGAATATGGGATCTACGCAACTTTGGTATTCCGATAGCCGAACTCAAGGGCAACGAGTTTGCCGTAAGAAAAGTACAATTCTCACCACACAATCTGTCGGTATTGGCCAGCGTGGGTTATGATTTCACTACGCGGTATGTTAAGACACAATCCAAATACAAGCAATTTCTAAATCTCTGTTCGTCTTTCACCTTTCCAGAATCTGGGACTTTAAGAAGACCAACGAAGCCATGGAAACAATCAAGCATCATTCGGAGTTCACCTACGGATTGGACTGGAACCGGAGACGACCAAATCAGCTTGCCGACTGTGGCTGGGACTCGTTGGTGCATGTTTTCAAACCGGACTGCTTGGCGGAGAAGATCTAATGCCGAACGCACCGTGCCACGCCAGGCAAGGTTTTTAATATTGATGAGGAACGGTTTTAACCCAATCTATAGATTCGAGAATGCGACAAAACGGTAAACCAAATTGTGATTTAGGAATTAAGTAGTCTAAAAACGAACAACTATTGGACATATTATTGAACTATTTTAGCAAAAATGAAAATTGCTATCCGGGCAGGTACATAATTGTAATATAGATGAACAAAGAGGAAAACAAACAAACTATCGGTTAATGTAAAAACAAAAATTAGATGTTTTGGTCACTCGGTGTAAAATGGAAGCAAAATTTAAAACCGTGTCATATGGGGGTAATATGGGTTTGTGATGGTATGCCAAAAATAGTCGTAAGGAGATTCGAGTCACTTTAAGTTATAAGGGCGATGGTTTATATTAAACTGTAAGATTGTTTTCTATTTTATTTACGTGTACGTACTTACAAGGTATCAATTAGTTGTAGTTAAAAGGTCAAAATTAGCGAAAATGTTTTCTAAGTTCAAACAAAATTCTAATGTTCTGGAAATTATTCGATACTTCTGTTGTCAAATGTATTGTCCTTTGAAAAAAAAGTATAGTTTAAATAAAACTTGATATTTTACATGTTTTGGCAAATTTATGATGTGCCATGTAATGTTTGTTGTTGCCTAAGACATCTCCATAAATTCTACAAACTTAAAGCGGAATATGTTGCTAATCTTTAATGCAGCGGATGTTCAACCGTTCTGTGCGTGACGGAGTACCCGAGTGCCCAGTTCCCGTTTGAATAACACGGTGTGGAAAAAAGCAATAAATTCCTCACACACATAAGGGTTAATAACATACTAATAACGATTCAAATTACTAATACTTATTATTGCCAGTGCAGCCGCTGGTTTTCGGTACCCACCGCTAGGAGCGAAGCTTTTTCTGCGTGCACGGTCGATCAACCAACTCAATTTCGTCAATAGTGGATTTACTCAACAGTGAGTTGAATTTTCCGGGCTTTTCCAGCAGAAACTTCTTGAATATTATGAAAATTTATGGAGGTTTCACTCACTGTATTGGTACCGTAAGACGGGGTGACATTGGGCCAACATTGAAGAATGTTTATAGATGCGACTCGATTCAATTTTGAGTAGGTCTGATCGACCGGACAAGATCGATTAAATCAGCTCTAAAGTGAGTTGAATTCAACATAATTTTGTCAAAAGTGGATTTGGTCACAAAGTGAGAAAAAATTTCCGAGTTTTTCCTGGAAAAGCTTCTCGAATATGAACACAATCGATGAATATTTTGCTCTGTCTAGGAGTATACTAATAGATTGAGTGAAACCTCTCTCGATTTTCGTCATATTCGAGAAGTTTTTCCTGGAAAAACTCGAAAAAGTTTACTGACTTTGTGAGCAAATCCACACTCATAAAATAAATCACATGTGTGTGGAAAATATCCATGTGAATCTCACATAACTTTCATGTGATACCATAATTGGAAATTGCACCACTAAATCACATGAACGTTGTGTGTCCACTGAAATCTATATGATTTTTCATATAGAATTTCTTATGCTATGTGATATTCAGATAAAAATCATTATTTTTGTTATTGGAAAAATACTATGTGTGTTCCTAATAGAAACTAAGTGAAAACTTTTTTCAGTGCACTTTTGACACAATTATGTTGAATTCAACCATTCAACCAATAAACATTTCAAGCTGAACATTGCATTCGGTCCTAAGTAACGTTGATCGATTCTCTCCGTCGACTTTCTCTTTCGTTAATAACTTGAGCATAACATTTGATAACGGCACAAAAGCATTTGTAAACAAACTTTGTAAGGCCCTTTGCACGCGAAACAAAGTACGCCCACGCAAACCAACAACATCATCGGATAGGGGCAACTATAACCTTTCCGAAAGTGGTATTGGTTTGCGTGGGCGTACTTTCGTTCGCGTGTAAATGGCCTTAGAAAGTTTGTTTACAAATGCTTTTGTGCCGTTATCAAATGTTATGCCTGATATAACCGTTTCTTGATGTGTTTGCCGTATTAGATGCTAGATAAAAACTTCTTTTATCGATCTGTGTGCTGAAAATACCTTCTTCTTCTTTCCTTTATTTAACGTCGGTCTCTGTTCCGCAATCTAGTGCCAATCACCGACGGACATCGATTGCCATCCATTGACGACAATCGAATGTGCAGGAAGGCAGCTTCCACACCTGCGTAGGATATCGCACCCATTCAACACACACACATGAGCCGGGACCAACGGCTTTACTTCCCTTCCGAAGGAAGACGTGACCAGAGATTTTTATACCTCAGAAAAATCCCACCGACCTCGGCTGGGATTGAACTCAGACTCATTGGGTTGAAAATACCTGGGAATGTCTTTACATGGCCGTGGGGATACAAAGAGAAAGTCGACGAAGAGAATCTGTCAATGTTACTTAGGACCTAAGGGGTCGTCCATTAATTATGTCACACATTTAAGGGGGAGGGGGGGTTTGAAGACTGTGACGAGCCATACAAAAAAAAAAAATTTAAGGTTCATACAAAAAATGTGACAAAGGGGGGAGGGGGGTTGAAAATGGGCCATATTTGCGTGACATAATTAATGGACCATCCCTAATGCAATGTTCAGCTTGATTTGTTCAATTTTGGCCCAATGTCACTCCGTCTTACCGGATCTTTGAAGGGATGGTGGCTACCTTACATACATACAATGTCACCCCGTCTTACGGTACCAATACAGTGCTCGATTTGTCGTCCGTCCAAAGCTTTCGTGATACTTTCTTACACACGGACGATCAGAACCACTCAAAATTTAGTAGGCTGGAACCACCCACCATATGGAGGGGTTACCACCGACGAACTGACATGCCACAGGAGCATTTCGTGTGTCCACAATTCGAACTTTCAAACGGGCGATCAGATATGTCAAACGAGGTGAGACGCAAACCAAGGCAATATAAATTATACGTGGGTTCGTGTCCTTGCTCATGTTATGACGTGATCGGATGAGTAGATGTCGGTAGTGTTTAACTATTATTATGTGATGAACTAGCCTACGGCTAAAAATCACAAAAAAAAAAGAAAAAAAAAAAAAAAAAAAGGTTGTGTTTAACGTATTTTAAATATTGCGTCTTGGGCACGAATTTGAAAGTAGCTTAGATGAGCTGTCACGTCGGTTCGTCGGTGGGGTTACTGTATACCAATCGACTAAGTGAATCCTCTATCTTATGTTTGAGATTTTTTCCTAGAAAAACCCGGAAAATTCCACTCACTTTTGAATAAATCCACTTTTGATGACGAACCTTACTCAGAGAGTGAGTCACTTTTACTCATTCGTATGGAGAAATTTCCATAAACGTAGGTAATTTTTCGCGTGCTTTTAGAAATTTCTCCAACGAATGAGAAGTGACTCTCTCACTGAGTTATATTTACCACAGACCTCGCCACAGACAGACATACAAATTAGTACCGTTGTACTTCTTTAATCCAGTACCTCAAAACGTACAATTTGTGGTACTAGCTTAAAGCAGTACAATGGTAGTACAACAGTGAACTTTGTACGTCTGTACAAGGTATTAGTTTCCTTTTCAGTGATGGTCCTCTTAGGTCAATGTATACAGAGAGAGGTAAATCAGATCATGAAATATTGTTGTTTAGTAAACCAAAAAATCAAGTAAACGCAAGTAGTGACGTCACTAATTGCTTGTATCGTACAGGGGCATTACTCACACAACTCAACCGATTGCTCACCTCGGTAATCCAGCTTATTGCTGGCTGATGGCTACAAAAGCTTTGCACGGACGATGAAACCGACTCAAAAGTAAGTTGAATTCGACTTAATTTTGTCAAAAGCGGATTTGCTCACACAGTGAGTAAAATGTTTCGAGCGTTTCCAGGAAAAAACTTTTCAAATATGAGAAAAACCAAGTGGTCGATAAATACCGTCTACTCACCGCTATTTTCGGCTGTCCTGAACAAATTGAACTCATTTTCTGAAGATACCCTAATAAAAAAAATACCATAAACTTATCATAACCCAAATCATATAACCATTCCACAGAAGGTTTGGCTGATACCCGGAACACGTCGTTAAGCAAAATAACCATAACAATTTTATTAAGGTAACTGCACTGAACCAATATTCACATAATATTTATTACAAACATCACATAGTTTCATAATGATGGCAATTCATTAAATGTCATGTTAAAAACATATAAAATTCATTATGACTTTGCATATAAACGCAGATTATGTATGTTTTCCGCTGAATATTATGTGATTTGCACATGTGAAAAAAATGATAATCTGCTTGGTAGTGCTTTCAAGAAGTGAGAATCAATCTGTTGGTGGTTTTTAATATTTTACCGGATGTTTTACAGCGTTTATTAAAGTTATATCTATGATAAATTATAGCAATGCCTTATTATTTTAGGGCGTGGAACTCAGTTATTCAACGATTTTAAAGCTAGTTGAGATACTTTTTAGCAGCTCAAAGTTGGACATCAGAACACCGACGACTTAAACTGTAAGGGCCCATGCATTAATTATGTCACGCTAAATCGAGGAAAAAATTAACCCAAACCCCCCCCCCCCCCCACTTCCCCATATCGTCACGTTTTTCCTATATCTAATCCATTGCTTGTCACAAAATCTTAGACCCCCCTCCCCCTTTAGAGCGTGACATAATATATGCATCACCCGAGGCATCACCCCTAATCAAAGGCATAACAGCATATTCATGAAGTAATGATGAAGTAATAGCATATTCATGGATTTCGTTATTTTGCCAATTAGGTAGGGGATAGAACAGGAGTGCGTGATTTATACTTAGTTTCTACAACCCGTGGAAACTAATGACTTTAAATTGGCTCACTACTTGACTAGCCTATTGGTCCCAAGTACATCTATAAGCGTACCCCATTCTAGTCGAAATTCTAGTACTACCCTATGTTTGTTTTGATTCGCTATGAATGATTGATAGATAAAATTAGGAATTCGTGGATTCTCCTATGTTTCGAGGGGTGTATCGATTACCAAAGAGAGTACCAGCATAGAGGTAGCTCTAAGACTAGTAGGTTCCGAAGAAACGTGCTCAGCTCTGGTACTCTCTTCGGTCCCAAGCTAATCGATGCACCCCTCGAAACATGGGAAAATCCACGAACCCCTTATTTTATCTGTCAAACTTTCATAGAGGTGTAGTGGTAAGCGTGATTACCTCTCACCCCAGCAGGCCTGGGTTCAATCCCAGTCGGCACCGCCGGGATGTTCTGAGGCATAACATCTCTGATCACGCCTTCCTTCGGATGGGAAGTAAAGCCGTTGGTCCCCGGTTCATGAGTTGATGGGTCGATAGGTAGGGGCCAGGTGTGGGAGCTGCCTTCCTGGCCCGTCGGTAGCATTGGTGCTCAGCACGGAAAACAAGATCGACGGAAAAAACAAACCAAAGGAAAAAAAAGAAACATATTTTTAAAAACCAAAAACAAAATCATGCAGAATTCATTAAAAAAAAATCACATAAAATTCATTAAAATCTAACCAATAACTATTATTGGTATTTCACATACAATTTATGTAATTGTTACAATGAATGTTACCAGAATTAATTATTGAGAATTCATGTGATTTGCTTATGAGAAAAGCTACATGGAAAATAGCTATGTGTGATTTCAGATAAATTTTACATGATTAATATTGCGCATTTTGCACCAAATTAGACTCCTGCGCAGGCATGGAAAATCATTTACATTCATTTCATGCATTCATTTACATTCATTTGCCCCTAACTTTATTCATCAACAGAATTCCGCAAAATGGTATATAGAGCTTTTGTAGGTTTTGTTATAAGCTACAACTTTTGTGAGTAACTCAAATCTGTATCTCTTATGCATTATGAATTAGAGCGGGAAGAACTCGTTACCGTTTTTCAGTGAATGTAAAATACATTCACGGAAAAACAGTAGTGGCTTCTGTTCACTCTGGTTCGTCATGCATAAGAGATACGGATTTGAGTTGTTAACAAAAGTTGTAGCTAATAACAAAACCTACCAAAGCTACTTACATCATTTTGCGAAACTCTGTTAATAAAAAAAGTTAGGGGCAAATGAATGTAAATGAATGCACGAAATGAATGTATACACTTAGATTTTTTCGCCGAGATGGGCACCACCGAGCAGCTCGGCATTTTATTTTGCTGGATCTCAGTGACAAACTTGCCGAGATTCAGCTAACAAACGGGAATTTTGCCGAGATCTCAGCTAACAAACATATTTTATGCTGAATTTACAGCAAAATAAAATGCCGAGCTGCTCGGTGGTGCCCATCTCGGCAAAAAAATCTAAGTGTGTAAATGATTTTCCATGCCTGCTCCTGCGCTAAAAATAATTGCACAATAATATTTTCGCACATGCCAGAAAATTTAAAAATCGACTTGTTTGAAAGCAGTAACAGCTTTAGAACATTACTATAGCAAGCTACACTGTTGAATTAAAGCTCTAGAAAGCATTAAGAAGCTCCATATTTAACTTTTATGACCAGTGCGAAAATATTACTGTGCACTTATTTTTAGCGCAGGAGTCTAATCAGGTGTGAAATCCGCAATAAGTTCAGTGTAATTTATGGTTGACACTAATCACACAAAAAATCTACGTTCTTGGTAGAAAAATCAACGAGAAATAGCGGTGGGTGGATGGTCCCGCTACTGCATACATCGAAGGAGTGGTGTTCTTCTAGACTGAGTGAAATTTTCGTTGATTTTCCTCATATTCGTGAAGTTTTTCCAGAAAAATCGTGGAAATTTTACTCCAGTTTTTACAAAATTCAGCCGAATTCAACTCAATTTTGAGTTGATCTCACCGTCCGTGATATGAGCTTTTTTTTCCTCCCTTGTTATGGCACAGACCTGAGCTTTTTGTCGCACTTTCCAACTCTGATGCATTGCTGGCAACAATGCGCTGTCATTTTCAGCTGACTCGGGCATTGTAAACTGAACGCCCGTTCAGTTTGTTTTGTTTACGCGATGCAGTTCCGTGCAGCGATACCGGTAAATCGCTTCTAATCGTGAAATTGCGTGAATAGTGACAACATTTAAGTGCCCTCGGTAATTGTAAGTGCATTTCCGTTGCATTTAATCTGCAGTTTTCGTGAAAGGTAGGTTCTTTATCAGTGGAATATATTATAAAAGGAGAAAGTTGTTCTCCGCAAAGGTTATGTTTACGGTTTCGGTGATATGTAAACAAAACGAGTGCTAAAACGGTTGTTGATTTCTACAAGTGCGTTTATTATAAAAGTTTGGTTCTTGTGGTCGATGAAGGTATAGATTCGTTACATTAAGTTGCACACTTTTGAAGCACGGTCCTCCGGACGAATTTCCTGGTCATCTTTAGAGTACTTTTTGTCTGAAACGAAGTGCATTAGTTCTAGCGATTAAGTGTTTGTTTAAATGACAAATTACCATCATTCAGGACCGTTCCGGCATTCCGGCAGCTAACATCCATGCTTTTTGCCTTTAGGCCTCGCAGGAACTGTTTCATCTTACCGCGCGAAGTGGTACTTCCCTGACTGCTTTTGCTCTCCACGCTGAGTTTGCGATCTTCATCCTGGTTATTGTTGGAATCGTTGGGCGGCTTATTCTTCCCGTTTTTGGCCAGAGCGTACGGTTCAGTTATGTCATCTTCATCGTTGAAGGTCGATTGTGACGAGATGCTTCCATTCTCGTCGTCACTGTAGTCGATTAGCTGGCTTATGTTCGGGGTTGGAGTTTTTGCATGCAGCACATTGTCCCTCATGATCTCACTGTGTGATGCATACTTCGGATCGAGGCGGTTTTTCTCGTTCATCATTTGTTCCCCTAGCGCTGTGTTGTCCTCGGCTGTAGTCACCATCGATGTCATGTCTATACCATTGTCAATGAATCGTACCTCTGTTTCGTCGGTCTCAATCTGAATGCACTCATCCTTGGAAAGTTCCTTTGCAATTCTCTCGTGTCGAAGTCGTCTCTTTTCCTGCCGAATAAACTCATCACTTAGTTCGACCCGCGGCAGTGGCATCGGTGTTCCATTGCGAATTTTCTGTTCCTCGTTACAGATAGCCGCTTCGATGCTTTCCACTGCCTCGCAAAAATCGATCTCAATCGCTGGAGTTTGATGTTCCTTCGGGAAAGCTTGAACCAACGAGTGCTCCAGCCCACTGGATACGTTGGCCACACGAAAATCTCTGAATTTGATCAACTCTCGAAAGTGATTCGAGGGTGTGAAGGGACTGTCGTCATCGTAGGTGGTCAGAAGCCGACCTTTGCTCGTAGCAAAAGATGTAAAGTTGTCTGCCGGGGCAATTTGAGTAATGTATTCATCTTGGCGCAGGAGCTGGTCAAACTGCTCCAATCGTTGGAACTTGAGGTCTTCGAGTTTCTGAACACGATTGCAACGATACACTTGATTATCTTCCAGTAGAAGATAGATCAGATCGTTTCTCGTAATTTGGACGGACATGACCTTAGCCGGTAGGACGATGATGACCAGCTCCTTAACGACAGGGATCGTAATCTTCTGAAACTTTCCAGCCAAATAAAGCTTGTTTGATTCGGAAACCATCAGAGTACAATAGTTGCCACATTCGACCAGCTCGATCCGTTCTTCAACGCCTATGCGATCCGGTTTGGTTAGAATTTTCAACGAATCGACTCCACCCAACTGCTGGTGGCTGTTGTGACCCCAACCGAAACAATTGCCAGCACTGGTTCGGACTACAAAGTGACAAAAACCGGTGGCGATGTCCACGATGCGCTCGTCTTCCTTCTCTAGGCATTCGGAAAATTCAACGAGCTCTACGGGGGTGTGAGTGTATTCGGTGTTGTCCGTGGTACACTTTTGGAGACTATCCGCTTCGAATAGGGAGGCAATTTTCGCATTGAAGGGGAACACATTTTTCCCGGTGTAGAAGATTTTCCCTTTTTCTGAAAGTAGATCGATAAGGTATTGAATGACATGATTCATAGTTTATTATCTTTTAGGATCGCACCGGTTAGGATCAGCCCGTACCCATAGGCACCGAATCGGGCATCCATGACTCGTTGTTTGAGTCGCTTCAGGATACGAACACATGAAGGTTTCTCGCAAACCTCCGTCGAAGCTAGACCCAGCTGGCCAAACTGATTTTGGCCCCACACGAAAAGACGTCCAGATTCTGTCGATGAAACAAAAAACAAAAAGAAATGTGACCTTCAATAAGTAGTTCAAATTAGCTTTTGCCGTGTGTGGCCATGACCCCCCGAATCATCGACTTCTTAGTGCGATGTAATTTGCATTTGTTTGTTCACCTTGAAGTCTTCTTATTTGGCGCAAGGTGGTGGTAGTCGCTGCGGCATTTATCTGCGTGGGTGGTTGCAAACGTGACCACAGTAACACTTTATGGTGGCAATATTTTTTGTGCTTTATCGCCAGAATCTGGTATAATGTGACCATGGGTGGAAGTTGAAACAAACAACAAATTATAGATCTGAACGTTTTGTGCCTTTCATGTGGCATGGAATTATACTAAAAACCATACATTTTCGTCATCTATCAGTCTCGACCACTAAGGTACTGATGGTGGTGACCGGGTGGAAACTACTATGATTCATGTAATGACGGGTCCAGAAGGAATACCCTACCTTTTTTCCTAGACCAGCAGGTGACAGTTTAATTTTGGTTCGCATTATGGTCGAATCGCACGCGATTAGAGAATTTCAAACGTTGACGTCAGGACGAAAATGTGTAAGCAAATGATATACGAAGTCGTACTTTGTTGTTATTATCTGATGTCGATCGCGACAACAAAGTCATTTGCTATTAAGTGTTCTGTGCTAAGGGATAGATAACTTGCTAATGTTTATGAGTTGAAACCTTACTTTTTTTTCGAATTGATGTTTTTGTAATAGATACGTAGCTCACTACATACAGTGAATTAGTTTTTGATTCATGTTTAACCCAGTAATCCAGTCAGATTTCATCGACTTTCTCTTTTGATAATCACGGCTTTACCAACCAACTTCACACTATTTTCGCTACATAGTTTGATAAAGGAGGTTATCATCTGTCATGCAGTATACAGCGCTGGTAGCTAGTCACTTTTTAGTGACTTGGTCACTTTTTTCAAGTCAGTCACTAAAAAGTCTCTTTTTTTAAGGCCAAGTCACTAAAGTCAAAAAACTATTTCTTGTAATAAGTCACTTCAAGATTGATTATTCTTTGCATTGTGACATTTAATCGCCTTTCTCTATATATAGGATGTCTACACATTTTTCTGGATAAAATTACCTAAGTTTTCCAAGTAAGTAAGTCCAAGATTTAAAAATATTCAATGTCGTGAAGTTTCGTATTCCATGTACAAGTTCAAGATATTGAAATTTTTTAAAAAATCCAGAGAACTAAATTTATATATTTTTAGATAGTTTAATGATATTCAGCGAAGTTCCGAGTACTTCGAGGACGATCAGATAGCTTCAGAATAATCCCATTAACTTAAGCAAATTTGCAGCGACTTACAAGGAGTTCCGTGGAATTATAGGGTATTCCAAGAATTCTATGATTGATCCAAAAACGTCAGGGAATTATGGATATATAGGGTTAACTACCCCATTTCCGGCCTATTCAGCACAACCAGCACTTAGTTTTGCTTAATCTTAACCGTATGTACCGTAAGATTTGATAAAGAGAAATCAATCGTTGAGATATTGTCAAAAGCCAAACTGCTTCTTGACGCCAAACTCGGCCTACAGATTCTAAACTAGGCCTAACGCATTGAAACGCCAATGAATTCACTTCGGCCTATCGGATGAAGATAGAAATTGATTCGGTCGGAGCGCTTCTTTTGTTTTTTGGGAATAATGGGTGCAAACGTTCATATCACGCGTTCTCATTGACTTCGTTACGTAGCTTATTATCTAAAGTATCGTACCAAACGCATAATTGATTGTTTACTTTGAGATTATGGATTTATTCGAAGTTTTCTGCTCGATAGGCCCAAAATGGGCGATTAGGCCGAACTAGTTCTCTACCCTATCAGACAATTTGCTGGATTATTAAACAAATTTAGAGAACTTCAGGTAAGCATAGATAAGTTCAGGGAAACTTCAAGGCAAATCAATTAATTTCAGTAAAGTTGAGGGTTCTTAAAAACTACTGATAATTTCAGGGCAGTCTAGAGAACTTAAAAGAAATTCAGCAATCGTTTAGACACCAGAAAAGTCTTGAATATTGAAGAAGTTTTAAATTAGTGTCGATAATTTAAGGGAAGTTTTATGAACTTTAGAAATATCTTGAGAACCTAAGTGAAAATCATAGAACTATATTAAATATTTCGTTCTAATTCCACATAAATTGCGGGATCAAAAAAGTTCCAGAAATTTAGAAAAAATTCGGGAATTTCACAGAAGGACAGTGGTTTTAGAAACATTAATTCATAGAAATCTATGGAGCTTAAGATGAGATCCGCGAAATTTTATGAACATTAGCAAAATGCGGGAGCGGTGGGCGTTGGCCAAATTTGGATTTTTCAGATATAATCCTAAATAGGACCTAGATTATTTAATACTCTAGTAACCTCAAGTCCGTGCTCTGTCACAATGTTTCATTGTGATTAATCAACACTCAAAGGGGTAAAATATCAAATTTGGGGTGAATTTGAAAGAAAGGGAACTTGGAGTGTAGAACGCACTGCCCACTGGACGATTCTGAAGCCTGGCCAAGTGAGTGGGGTATGGGTTTATTTGAGTGAACGTCATTTCCAATGTATATATTGATACATTCAAACCATTGGCATTTGAGATAAGACAGAGATAGGATGCGGAGGGCCCGCTTAGGGGAAGCGTAACCCATGTTATGGTTTCCATTTATTAATTAAAGTTCAGATAGGCTGGAAATGACAGGTTCATAGTGAGAAAATGTACCATATGGGGCCCGTTCACTGATCAAAAATCAGATTCACATCGTCAGACCCTGCCCAAGAATAAGGGGATTGACGATGTCTTGTCAAGTTTATTTTGAATTTGCATTTTGCATTTAATACACTGAGTCATATGTCTTAGACCAGTTCCAGATTAGTTTGCTATTAATATCTTCTGCATCGCAGTTCGCGATAGATTACTAAATATGGGTTCTCTTTTCCGACCATAATAGTGTGAGGGAAGGGGGTGAGTTCTGGATCAACAATGGAGGGGGGCCCATCGGCATTTGTGGGCAGACCGTCCAGAGCCCATTCCTCACGGATCGGAGGCTGCTCACGCAGGCCAACACCATCTTCGTGTAGGTGGAAGTTTCCCCTATCCGATGATGGTGTTGGTTTGCGTGGGTGGCCTTCGCTTTGTGAGTGGGGGGCTTTGGAGCGGTTTGTTTGCGAGTGCTGATGGGCCCTTTTCTATTGTTGATCCAGAGTTAAACGTTGCGATATGAGAGCGAATAGAGGCAAATAAATAGGGAAGACAACACCATGACCCAAATAAGTAACCAATGCATGCGGCTCACACTTAACTTGTTCTATTTCTTTCTTTCTTCCTATCATGTACTAATATTAACTGCCTGAGGACAAATGGGAACACGACCAGAAGTTCAATAGGAGAAAAGTAGCGAGAAAATTCGAACAAGAAAAGAAGAATTAAACTTGCACCGGCAAGAGGAAGCAGACAGGAAGGATCATGCTGGTTGGAGACAGCCAATGTATACTGGACGAAGCTTGTATCTAGGAAAAGTCGTATGTGCAGGAAACCGTAAGTAGGATAAGAATCGTAAAAGGTGTGTGCTTGCTTGATAAGATCCTAGCTTTACTTTAAATACACGGTAGGAATCGAATATCCATTTATGATTAAGGTTTTGCCCATTTTTCAGTGGGAGTGGCAATACTCATTGATGAGTGATTTATCGTACCCATTTATTAGTAACTGTTAGCAGCTAATGATTAATTGATTTACCTATTTTAGAATTACCTATACTACTATACATCAGAACCTCATTTCCTTCAATTACTACTCCGTCGCAGCACACACCTTATATGGATCGCTAACCTTTATTTAGTTTCAGCATTTTCGACATTATAATCAAAAGGTGAGTTTTAAAAGTATAATTACCATGCATATAGATAAGTTAATGTACCAGAACCTGGACGGACACGAGCCTACCCAGGGGAGGACCCGGATACGACCACCCATGTGTGTCTAGAGTATCGCACGAGCTGACGAGTGCAACGGGAAGGACAGTAGGTGTATAGACTAGGGGGTTGGTCCCTAGATAAGCCTTCTTAGCGGAAGGCACAGCCTATGCACTGAACAATTACAATTACAATTACAATTAGCAAAATGCGGGAGCATTTGAAAGAAGTTTAGTGAGCTCCGAAAATTGGAGGGATTTTAGGGGGAGGTCAGTTCCATTAGTTTAAGAAAATTAGTGTGATTTTTATAGCAGTTCCCAGATTTCCAGATAACTTTAAGATTATTTGATGTCTTCGCATAAGTTCAGAAGTTCACTGAAGCTTAAACATTTTTAGGAAGATTTAATTAAATTCAGCGCAGTACAACAAGCTTCATGAAAACTACAAAAACATTAGAAAAGTATTGAGAATTTCAGAAAAGAACAGAGAACCTCAGAGCAGTCCCATCAACATTAGAGAAGTCACATAGATTTTAAAGAATTTTAGAGAACTTCAGTGAATTGATAAACCTTTAAAGGAGATCCATGATCGTTAGAAAAATTGAGGAAACTTTAGGAAGTCCTGTAAAGTTTAGAATTTGAGGAGACGTATTGTGAGCATCAGGCTAGTTTTTCAAACTACAAAAGAACTTCAAGGCAGTTTCATTTAATTCAGGAAAAAATTGAAAACTATCAAGTGGTTCTGAAGACCTCAAAATAGTCCATTCCATATTCAACGGAGATTTCCTCAAAATCTCGATGAAGCCATCTTCAGAATTGAATTTTCTTTTAGTTTTCCTCGGAATTACCATGAAATTCTACACAATTACAAATCCTTTGGAAAGATTCTTCGAATATTCATTGAATTAATTTCAGATTTCCTTTTCAATCTCACTCCTTCCCTTGAAATTCTACTCACATTGAAAATCTCCTAACAATTCATTGGCATTTCTCCTCAGAAATTCCTTAGATTTCTTCTCATAATTTGTTTGGCAAACTCTCCTGCATTAATTTTCCGAATTCTTT